TAGGGACTTGCAGTTTCAGGCAAAGTGAAAGGTGGGCAGAGACGCTTGCAGTTTCAGGCGAAGGTGGGCAGAGACAAACAAGTTCACTGAATGCTTTCATCGCTGCCTGCTCCTTTTGTCGTTGTTAGGAACGCTTTTTCTTGCGACTGCTAATGGTTGTCTGTTGTCTTTTTGAAAGACAAAATTATTCACATTAATGCTTTGAGGATTAGAAAACTAGCTCTGGTTTTTCCTTGGGGACATGGTATAGCCCTATTGTGTACTTAAGTATAGCTTTTGTTTATTACTCTGTAATCCATGGATTCTGTAATTTAAAAAAAAATTGTGTTTTCTTTTTTCCACAGCTACCTATACTTCAGAAACATGGAATAACCCATGTAATATGCATACGGCAAAACATTGAAGCAAATTTTATTAAACCAAACTTCCAACAGTTATTTAGGTGAGAAATGATCAAGATTTTTTTTTTTTTTTGGTGCTAGTGTTCTTTCCAAATACTTTCACATTTGTCACAGCTACTTGAAAAATGTGCTGAGATGTAGAAAGACTCGTAAATCCAAACCATGAAGCTTATTCATCCTGCTAAACTCTAGACATGGGCAAGTCTGCGAGTGAGAAGGATCCATTCGTTTGCAGTAACTTTCTTTGGTTTTGAAGTCGTTAGTTCTGAGTGCGGTTTGTCCTGCTGATAAAACATCTGAGGTAACTTCACCAGAATATGAAAAAGTTGCACAGATCCAGAAAAGAACACTGGCCCCTGTTTACAAACTGGTGTGAGTGTTGCGGTGCACTGCTTTCAAACAAGGTAGTGTCACCTGTAGCACAGCACCTGTGAATTTTCTGGGCTCTGAGAGGTGATTTTTTTGTCAGGGGATGTTGGAGAAGGGTGTAAGGGCAGCTCCAGGGGTTGCTTATTGTAGAAGCTCTGGAGCTCAGACCAGAAAGTAAAGCCAGGAGGGCAGGTTTGGGTGTCGTAGTGGGGTCGAATCGGCTGTACATGCACTCACTGTTACTGTGTACTCAGAGCAACTTTTTTTGCAGGTATTTAGTCTTGGATATTGCAGATAATCCAGTGGAGAACATCATACGTTTTTTCCCTATGGTGAGTATTTGTGTGTGAATGCCAACGGGTTGGGAACGGAGTTGCCCAGTAAGAGTTTCCTGAACTAAGAGATACCAGTTTCAAATTTGGGATACCCAGCCTGGGGCACTTGGAAGGGCTGCGAACTCTTGAGTGACCATAGTATTGCCGCTGTATTCAGCGTAATGAACTCCTCTTGACAAGGACAGAGTTGTACGAGCTGTAGCTCGCTGTGGTCTCAAAACCAAAAAAAGCAGGGGGAAAAAATTAGTCTTCAAACCAAACAAAATCAGGTCTGGAGAACTTGGCCTGTAGGAAACTTATTTTGTGAGCCCGAGAGTATTTACATCTCTTGCATCAAATACCAAACCAAATTCAACAGGAAGGAGTACCTAGGCGGTGTAACTAAGTTTTACAGCATCTTGAAATGCGTTTACTGTAGAGGGATTAAAAAGTAACTTTAAGTGAAGCAAGACCGTTACGTACTGACCTTTGGAAACAGAATAAACCCTTAGCTTTTAGCTATGGGTTTGTCTCTTCATTTGAGTCACAAATAAACAGAGCAGAAGCATTTTTGTCCTTCCCTGATGCAAAAAAAAAACCAAACCACCAAAATCTCTTCTGGCTTCCCTATACATGGCAGAGGTGGTCATGGTTTTGGAGAATGAGGTGGCAAATCAGTTGATGGCCTGCAGCTTTTCTAGAGCATAGTCTGCAAAGTGTAAATGCCGTTGGATCGAACATCAGCCTTTGCAAATCTCTCAGTTGCTGATGTCTTAGTAGCTCTGTGTCGCTGTATTTTTAAGAGTCTGGTCTGAGGTTTCCCCACAAGAAATGATTTAACTTTCTGCTTTTCGTCTGATCAGCTCTTTCAACCTGGCCGTGTTCCACAGACCTCACTGCCTCATGTCTCACCTTCTAGATTTTACTTCTGTAACTGCAAAGATCACTGGAGAACTTCAAGGAAGCCGCAGGTGTCAGCAGAGTGGTCCTGGCCACATCGCTGCTGATGGGGGGGGGTTGTGTTCCCCACCCCCTCGTTGTGAAGCAAAGATGTTTGGAAGTTAGTTTTTGTTACAGCGGCATAACATGTGACATGTAAAAAGCACAACATACTGGATTTTGGTGCATTTTTGTCTCTGGCTTCACTCTAGTTTTTCACTGACAGGTTTATGGCTAGTTAGAAGTACAAAAGAAATGCAAATGTCCAGTGGAAGTGATGCCTAAGGCCGTATAAACAGAGTGCAGTATTGTCACTGGGTATAAAAACAGATACAAAAAATGCTACCAAATGTAAATGCAAGTAGCAGTAACATGTGAAATAATCTGAAACTTTGAGCCTTGTAACTTTTCTTCTTTTTAGACTAAAGAATTTATTGATGGAAGTTTACAAAGTGGAGGTAAAATATTAACTTTTTTCCTTCATTTACTAATACGTTGTTGTTAAAGCTTTAAAACTAACTCAGTGGTGTGTAAGAGGCTCTTAAGTATGAGGTTTTCTTAAATTTGGGGTTTATTATGCTTGACTTGAACTATATTATACAAATTCAGAGCAAAGCATTCTTTCCTTTTGTCTCTGACTGGACAACAAACCTCTTTGTATATCTGGGTTTGTTGGGGTTTTTTGTTTGTTTTTTTTTTTTACTTGAATCACAACTTTGTTCTGTGCATGAGGGTTTCTTTGTCCACTCTTGGAATTAAGGCCTTAAATCTGTATTGTGGTCCTGGAATGCAGATTCCGTGACTCAAAACCCTCAGAGGAGCAGGAATCCATCCTTCTGTATCCCAGGGCAGCGATGGACAGAGCGTAGATAGTAACCCAGAGGGAAGTAAGACACAGCTGTTACTCTTAGGGTGTGCCTTGCTACTGTGTAGTTCTCCATAACAACGAAAAACTACATTTCAAAGAATTTTCTTCAGTCTATACAAGTGTGATTGGTGTATTTTTTTTTTTCCCTTCTCAGGAAAAGTTCTTGTCCATGGAAATGCAGGGATTTCTAGAAGGTAGGAAACTATCCATCCAGCTTGTTAGCTTTTTTTTTTTGAACAATGGAAATATATTTTTTTTTACTAATTTCTTGTTTCTTTTCAGTGCTGCCTTAGTTATTGCATACATAATGGAAACATTTGGGGTGAAGTACAGGTAAGCCCAGAGCGTGGTCGTGCAGTGAACTGTCTGCCTATCTGTCTGAAAAGGCAGAAGTGAGAGAGAACTTTAGCACAGGTCAGAAGTCTGATGTGTCACTTCTTAACTCAGGTGGTGTGAGTAATTTTGGAGGGAACATAAACAGTTGAGTATTGACACATAAGCCAATTGTTCCCTACTGAGACTGAGCAAAGCCTTTAGGGCAGATGATTCCACTTCCCTGCAGGCTTGTTGACACCCTTTCTCTAAGAAGCAGGTACCTGCTGCTCATGGCAAGGGGACACGGCCCTCCAGAGGCGGGTGCCTCGCTCTGAAACTACAGGAGAGGCCCCGAGCGGCGTGTGGCAAACGGGGCAGCCAGCTGAAGGGTGCAGGTGGGGGTGGGCAAATAGTATTTTCCAGCTTCTCATGTTGCCCAAACGCTTTCAGTTAGGCAGACCAGTTCTGAGGGGCGTTTAGAGGCTGGGTGTTTCCTAGGGACTGATGATTTGAAGACTCCTGAAACCGCAGAGACTTTTGTCATAGTCTGTTTGCCACTGAAGTATTTTCTCTCTCTCCTTCTCTAAGGGATGCATTTACTTACGTGCAAGAAAGAAGATTCTGTATTAATCCTAATGCTGGATTTGTCCATCAACTTCAGGTGAATTTTTTTTTGGGGGGGGTGTCATAATTCAAAAGCCATTTGATGCATCATCTTCCTGCAAAACAGCTGCTTCTACTCAGGCTTAGCATTACTGTAAAAGTAGCCTTCAAGTGACTGTCAGAGCTCGGAAGGAAGATGAGTGGGTACCCCAGGTCATTAGACTGAAGCTTGAGACAAAGCAAATCCAGGAATGGAGGAGAAATAAAAACGCTGTGTTGTGCAGTGATTAAGAGGCTCTGAAACAGCTGAACGGGTGGCTGAGGAGACTGCAAAGCGTCTGTGATGCTTCTTGTCACTTGAGTTCCCAGGGGATGAAGCTCCCAAGTCTGAAACAGCCAAGAGCAGTATCGTGAAGGTGCTTTATCATATGCCAGGAGTCCATGGGGGGAATGGGGATTGAGTATCTCCTGAGCTCAGTGGTTCGTTTTGTGCGTTTGTTTTTTCAAGTCGCTCCTGTGAGGAGGAGTTGTGTAGCGCTGAAAGCGTGACCGGCCGCTAGAGCGCAGCTTCAAGGCCACGTATGGTTTGTCCTTGTAACCAATCTCTGAAGCTCCTGTATTCTACGTTTGGGTTGGTTCTACTGGCCGCCTGGGAGCAACGAGGAGTTCTCTGAACATGCTGACAGAGTTTTTGAAGTGCGAGTTTACTCTCTTCCTTAAAGGCATTTCTTGTCATCCTTTAAGTTTTCTTTTGCTCTGTCTTCCTGGCGGTGGTTGTTGTTCACCTCAGAGCAACAAAGAACTCTCCTTCTCTCAGATCTCCACCTTACTGTAAGATACTCTCTAGTCCATCCAAGCAAACTCTCTGAATAAGCCCTTCTCATCCTTCCAAAGCCAAATACGTATTATTACACTTTTCCAGGAATATGAAGCCATCTATCTAGCAAAATTAACCATCCAGATGATGTCACCGCTGCAGTTGGAGAGATCCCTCTCGGTTCCACCTGGTACTACAGGTCAGAAGCCTCTCCTGTTGTGTGTGATGCTGCTGGCTTAGCGGGTGTTGTGAGGGGACGCTTGCACCCTCCAAGTAAACCTCCAGCAGCGGTGAATCCCGGACTTTTGGGAAGGGCGTGGCTGCAGGTGGTGGGCAAGCTGTGTTCAGACTTGAGCATTGTGGTATTTAAATGTTCTGATCTCTTATGGCTGAGCTTTCCTGTGGTGGTGTCTGCCCTTCTGTACCTGGAAGAGAAAGGCCCTGCCTCCCCCTGTCCTTCAACCCCGAGTTCCCTCGAGGAATCAAGAGGGACAGGTTGAAAGCAGCCAATGTTCATGATACAATTGCTGCCCTTCAAATTAAGGCAGTTGCTCTGGAAAAAAAAAGAAGTTTTGCTGTGCCTTTAAACAGATAACAGGGGATTAGGGCGTGTAAAAATGTTACCTTAGTCCTACAGAGGTGTCCCAGTAGCAATCCCTGCTAAAGGTCAGTGAGAAGGGAGTCGGGGGGGAGATGTAAAGGGAGCGCAAAAAATAGTGGGTTTTTGGAAATTTCTCCTCCATGTGGAGAAGTGTGAGGGAAGAAGAGTGCTGTCCGAAAGCTGGAGGTCTTCAAAGGGCAGAGTCCCTGCCAGCAGGCAGTAACACCTGCCCCGTAGTCCTGCTCGCAGCTGCGTGGTGCTAGAGCTGACCTTTTCAGAGGGCTCGTCCTTCCTCTCGCCTTTTGCAGGAAGTTTAAAGCGAATGCACGAAGAGGATGAAGAACTTGGAACCATGCAGGTGGCAGCAGCACAGAACGGATGATCCCTGAGGACAAGCGCTGTTTGTGTGGTGAATTCCTGCCAAGAAAGGTGAAGAAAACTAGGGAAAAAAGAACGAATAATGCAAAACAATGAACACACACATAGCTTCTTTTCGATTACTTGTTGCTTTCAGATGTAAATCTGCCTCTGCAACACACTAAGCATCATTTTTAAGATGTTGGACTTCTTGAATGAATAGATGGCACTGATTGTTTTACTCCTTTTTTACACTTTACAGTTTTATTCTAAACCAAGATTTTTGGACTTGCAAAGAGGTATTATTGCAATAATGCACTTTTCATACTTGAAATTTCTTTATTTGTATGATATAAAGTTATTACTTTAAACAAAATGCAAGCTGGGGGGATTTGTTTATAAAGTTATTTGTGTAATTTATAACAAGAGACTTTAGTAAAGAAAACGTTTGCTAAAACTCACCTTGTTCTCACTCTGTATTCTGGCTGTGCTTGTAGAAATGTGCTTTATGAACTGCACCATGTGCTGCTGCTGGCAGTTGAGCAACAGCAGTGATCTAATCAGTATTGAACTCTTTACCTTGTTATAAAACCTCATTATACACTGAATTATTTTGAGACCGACACTCTGAGACCAATTTAAGACAGAATACTGTTCTAAAAATCTCACCTGGTTTTATGCAAGTTAAAATTTAAGACAGTACTGATTGATTACTTAATAAAATAGTCATGTGCTGAATTAATACAGAGGGCAGCTACCAATTTTACACACATCAAGACTGAATTCTTTTAGCTAGCCTTAAAAAGCTGCTTGTTAAATTAATTATAGGTTGATTTTTTCAGTTGAACGAGCCAGTATGGTCCCCCTGTCTACTAGAACAGTGCATCTTCAAACTGGTATTGGAGGAGTAGTTCCCTTTGCAAGACAATAGTTGCATCATTTCAGGTAAAAATTGGATTGGTTGAAAAACTGAGGCCCGAAACACTGGCCATAATCAAGACCTAAAGGATTCACCTCAGCTCTTCTAAAGTGTTAGAGTCAATTAAGGCCACGCACTTACCAGTGCTTTAAAGGTTTCCAGTTGGGAATTGCCAAGGGGGTTTGTGCAGCTTTAACTCGTCCCCCTTCTCAGAAGCGCTGTGATAACTGCTGGTTGTGCAAGTGCAGCCTCAGTTCTGCATCTCTGCTTTATTTGCCACTCAGCCTGTGGTATAAAAGCTACGACTGAAATGATGGATCCTTTAGAGCACCGCGGTGACAGAGCAAATCCCAAAGCTCTTCGGAGAACTCGTGTGGGGGATATCTGAGCTTGTAATTAGACTGTTTTTTTTTAACAGGGAACAGGTGAGCTCAAGGGAGTTGAATCAATATAAAAGATATTTGGGGATCTGGACACCCAGCATCTGCCTGGACTCTGGTACGGCTGTGTGCGGATAGCCAAGGTCCTCTGTCGGCCTCGGAACGAGCAACGGGTGCTGAGGTACCTGTGAGGGCAGACACCTGTGAATTCGGAAGGCATGAATCACAGCATGGTCTGGGCTGGAAGGGACCTTAAAGCTCACCCAGTTCCAACCCCCTGCCCTGGGCAGGGACACCTCCCACCAGACCAGGTTGCTCCCAGCCCCATCCAGCCTGGCCTTGAGCACTGCCAGGGAGGGGGCAGCCACAGCTTCCCTGGGCAGCCTGTGCCAGCGCCTCACCGCCCTCACAGGGAAGAATTTCTTCCCGATATCTCATCTAAATCTCCCTCTTTCAGTTTAAAGCCATTACCCCTCATCCCATCACCACCCTCCCTGATCAAGAGCCCCTCCCCACCTTTCCTGTAGCCCCAGTTAGGTAACTGGCCCCCTTTTAAGAGTCTAGACACTTGTGCTGGGAGGATCTTTTCTGATCAGGACTGTCCAGCAGTTTGTTTACTTTGTGGGAGCCTGTTTACTTTGTAGGAGTTCTGCCTCGCTTTGTGTATTCAAGGCAAGTTGACCACGCCTGTGAGGTGCTGATCTTTGCTTAGTCACCGATTCCCTGCCTTGTCTTGTCTTGCGGAGGGGCAGGCCCTCCAGAGCCGGTCTGGGCTCTTGGCCTCTGTCAAAGCTCTTCCAAGTAGTCAGCAGATTCTGAAAACTACTGCCAGGGTTAAAGCCTGCTGCTAGAACAGACGTTGTGACACCTGAGGAGGAAATGCTCGGGGTGTTTAGCTGAGCCAGGACAGAGGGGTGAGGCTTTATAGCCTCAGAACCTCCTCTTGTGTGGAATGGGAAGGCCCTGGCGTGGGGAAGGTTCAGCACTTCAGGGGAGCTGAACCAGCATTCAGCAGCTCTTTGTTGCTCTCTGTTCTCTGCCACCTATGTCGGTGATGAGGCAGCACAAATCCTTCAGAAAAAAAATCTTTAAGAAAGGTGTGATGCCTTAGTTAGGGAAGTTTCAGCTTGAAAGAAGGAAGTGTGGCTGTTATCTCCTGAAGAACTACACCTTGTCAGTGTGGAGCTGACTGGCTAAGCATGCAGTGCTGGTTCTGCAGTTGTTGGGTTTATGATGTGCTGTTACGAAACCTCTTCTCGGATGTTTCACCACTTACCCACCCCCCAGGGCTGCAGTGGGGTTTGTGGATGAGTCTCTTGTGCAGTTTACCAAGTGCTGCCAGCTACAAGCTTCTGACGATACGTTGGGAACCAGAACTTGTCCATAAAATTGCTGTCTTATTTCAGCTCCCTAGGGATCCCTTGGGCTGGGCTAGAGATGAAACACAGATGGAAGAACAATCCTGATTCATCTAACTATCCCCTGCCAGAGAGGCTTGTTCATGCCCAGTCTGGTTCTGTCATCTCACTGGGGTCCTGCTGCTTCCCTGGGGAGACTGTTTCACAAACTAACAAGCTTCATGACTTAAGGATTTTCCACTAATCTTGTGGGTTTTTTTCATGCCATTACCCCCTACTGATGCCTTCAACAGTCATTCTGCTTGGTCTGCCTGCTGCCTTGCAGATAACAGCCTCTTGGATCCCAAGGGATTCTGAGATTAGTTCTCCTCATATATCTATTAGTAAGCCCTTTATTTAAAACTTCTTGACATCTGTCTCATTTCATTTACTGCCAGCAGGTATTTCAATTACTGTTTGCTTTCTGGGCTTAAACCAAAGGGGGCAGATAGCAGCGGGGGTCCCTCACCATGGCCTTAGAGCAGCAGTAGACGTTGAATTGTCTCCCTTCAGGCACAAAGCTGCAGGACTCAGATCTTTGGGGATCCCCAGCTGTGTGTTAAGATCCTAACATTCCCTTTTCCAGCTTAGGGGAAGCAGAGCGAAGGAGCTGGGGATCTCTTCCTCGTGGGGGGAAGAGCTGTTACCCAAAAAAATGAAATCCCAAGGAGGAGGTAACATTAAACCTCAGGAGAAGCTGGTAGCTACGGTTGATTTCTGACGAGAGCCTTTGTTCCCTGGGAGGGGGAGATCATGGTCTCTCCTGTTAAGCCAGTTGTACCATAGGTAAATTGACAGGGCTTCGGTTTGGGTGATGCAGAAGGTATTTTAAGACCACCTGGGGCAGTTAAATGCTGTGGTTTGTGAACTGTGACAGTTTAAAATACATCTGCCTGTGTACTAGGTGTCCTTCCAGCTGCCTGGGGCACGCTGAAACCACAGTGGCCTTCCTAAATCCCCAGCCTGGGGAGTATCAGCTCTACCCCATCTGCCTGCAGTTGGTAGATCTGTTTAGTGCTGACACTTCCAGGGCCTCTGCTGGCCCCGAGGCCGGTTTCTGCCCTACAGCTCCCACCCACAACCCTTTCTTCCTGTAAAAGCCCCTACCCTGAGCCCAGCCTTCCTCCAGGAGGAATTCCCCACAGCCCAGGTGTGACACAGCAAGAGACAGCACCTCTCCTCTCACACCCAGCCGCCCGAAACTGCTCTTTCTGGAGGGGTGGCAGCCTGCCCGAGGTTGGGAATGTCACCTCTGGTGACACAACAAAGAGCTCTTCGAAGCTAAAGGGATGCTGATGAGCTGGATTCCACCCAGCAGAGGCATTGTCAGGCAGCCACAAAACCCAGCTTTCAACCCAATTCATTTGTTTTACAATGAGCTAAGCTGGGTACACAATCACCTGCTCCTCACTCGTATTAATCTTTCCATTAACTCTTAATGAGGGCCTGGAGCTATTTAGATGGTGTAGATATCCTGGAATTCAAATAATCCACTTTAAATTAGCAGAAATTCAGAATTAATTAAAAACTCTGAAAGGCAAGAAAATCCACCTCAGTCACTTGGGCCCAGCATAAAGGAGTAGCTGATTTTATACAGTTAGTCCAGAGATGGGGCTCAAGCTGCTTAGAGCTTGTGTCAGCAGAGCACATCTGGGGGAACAGCCCCAAGAAAATGGGGTGGCAGAACCCACCCCCCCTCCGAGGAGGGCAGAAGGCGACTTGCTTCACACAACTCCTACTTGCAAACGTGCATCAGAACATGCTGGAAAATCCCTGTGGAGCCTCAAAAAGTCTTTTCCAGTCTCGGGAAAGGAGAACAGAGGCGTTTGCTGTTCTGAAAGGCAACAGGCACACGCTTACCCCGGATACCTGCCGCCAGGCACAACGCAGCAACACGAAACACAGAGCAGATCCATCCGGCAGACTTCATTTATTCAGCTTAAAGATTTTTTTCTTTTAAAAAAAAAGTCAATAAATAAAACAGACATCACCAAGGGAACACTATATCGAGTGAAGTACCATCAGGAACATTAAATAGAACCCCCCCACCCCAGCTGAAAGTAGCTCTCCACAACCAAAGAACCTTTTGTAAGGCCCAGCTGTTGACAGACGAGACTGGCTGCTCTGTACGACCCTCCGCGTATTTATAATGCCCTATTATTTGTCACCCTCCTCGCACAAAACGCTGCTGTTGAAACCAGGCCTTTGTGCATGATTTGCTTGCCGTGGTTGGCAAAAAGTGCTAAAAAACAAACAAAAAAATCAGTTAAATCCTCAGGACCAGGACGGGGGATTCCTCTGCTTGAGGCATAAACCATCACCAGCAACACCACAGCCCGCCCGGCCCTGGGAGCTCAAGCACAGCGAGCCGGGGGCGTTCGGCGTTGGCATCACTGCCAGTCCCACCCCGCTGAGCACTGGCCAGAACCCCACTCGAGATGGGGTGTATTCTCTGTCCGACATTCCAGTTTCCCAGTTCCCTTTGCCCTGGCGCAAACCATCACCTCATTTTTTTTTTTTTTTTTTTTTGTCAGAAAACAACAAGTAATTACCCTGAAAACAAAGTTATCAGCTAAAGCGCAGGATCCCTGCAGCGATACACACACATCCATGTTGAGGCTCGGACCACAGCCCAGGAGGATTCTCCCCTACCCGCACAAAAATGTAACAATTCCCATTATTTTTTTTTTTGGAAAATAGTGCCTATAAAACTTGAGGTACGCCAACTCCAACAGCGCTTCCGTGGACAGAAC